ACATTTTCCTTTTTCATGTTTTTGTAGTTAAAATATTAAAATATATAGGTATATATTTTATATTTTTCTATGAAGGGTAAAATGGTAATGTGTTAACTTCCATTAGTCTGTTTAGCATCAAGTTAGTAACATGGTGTTTGGACGTTTTGAAAAGTTGTGGTTAGTTTAAGAGAATTTATAAAAAGTGATGGTGGGTTTTGGACAATTTCCATAATAATAATAATAAAACAAAAAAACCCACTTTTCAATTATAATTTACATTTATATTCAGTAATTATCAATAATTTTGAATAATTGTCAATTATTTTCAATTAAACGCAATGTTCAATAATTGCACATTTCAATAATAGTTTTTGCAATTTTCAACTAACATCAATTTACTATGAATTTTGAATAATTATTTTCAGTAATTTTCAATTATCACCATTTTGCAATAATATTCATTTATCAAATTATTCCCTACTCCCTATTCGTGAGTGGGTAGAGACATCTATACACAGGTCTCCATGTACTTGCCTGAATATAGTAGGAGATGATGGGACTTATGCACTTTATTTCATGGGGAGATATTCCCCATGCAAGGTGGCAAGAGTCTGTTCATAGGATGTGAGCACGGGCTTGCCCTGACCAAAGCCAATCCAGAGAGAGAGAGCAAGAGAATGTAATATCACTGACGCTTTTCACTCAACCACAAATTGGATTTGGTTCGATTCGGTTTTGCGGTTTGAAACGTATAACTAACACCCCTATTTGTGTGTGCATGTGTACCATGAGCTATCCACTATGGCAAAAGGCTTGTCCATGTTACTAAACCATCTGAATTGTGATTCAAGGGAAGACTGGATGTCCTTTGGACTTTCCTGACAAGTCGGTGTAAAGTATCCTTTTGCTCTTTTAAGCACTTCAAGGGGGTTTGGATTTTTCTTTCTGAACAGCACTTCATTCCTTTCATCCCACAAGCTTCTGAGAATAACTACTATTCTTCCTTTATAGCTTTTCCCCATATGTCTTGTTATCGTATTATATTGTTGAGAAAATCAATTGATTTTGAAGCACGAAAGGAGTCTGGGTTCAGCCCCACCTGAGCTTGAAGCCGTATTTAGAAAAGCTGCATTCAAAAAATAGATGTTTTTATGTTTCAGGTGTGTTTTTGCACAAAGTACAACTGATATCACCTTCTTTCCTTCTACTCCAATTTGCTGTTTCTGTTTTCACAGCCCTTAAGTAATATTTCTAGATTAAGATACTAAGATTAGACATCTATATGGGACTTTAAGGGCCCAAATTTTACTCCAGTTTGCTTGTGAATTTGATGTTTCAGTTTCTGGTCTACTAAACAGTCTGTAAACTGACCAAATAGTGAATTCACTGTTTGTTGTATGCCTCCAGCACAGTCTATCACCCCTTTGCAACCCATTGAGAGGAATATTAGTGATAGCTCTCACTGATGCTTCCTCAAACACTCCCACAATTTATGTTCATCCCAACTTCTATTCTCTTGAATAAATTCTTTAACTCTCAAGTTTGTTAGAGAGTGTGTTCCTCCTATTCCTTCTTTGGTTTTTGGCTTGTTTTATAGAAGCCACTGGACCCATGGATCAGACACTGCATTTAGACAAGAACCTGAACACACCTACCAACAGATAGAGCTTTCCGATTTTGCTTTCACTTTTAACACTAAATTCACCATCTTGAATCAGATTGCTTTGCTTTGATTTCAAAGATGCTCTTGCCTTTTAGATATTTACTCTTGATCAAATCTGCCTATAATTCATTTTTACTATTAAGCAATCTCCAAATTTGTTTTGAAAACATAGGTCTATTCATGGAGTCTGTCTTTCGAAGACCCAACCCCCCTGGATTTTTCATTCTGCAGATTTTATTCCAAGGGATGTTATGCCCCAAATCTTTATCTTTGTTACCTTTCCACCAAAAATTTCTTTGGGCTCTCTCCAATTTATTAGTGATTTTTTTGGGTAACAAAGTGGTCATCATTGTGTACGAAGGAATAGACTGTATTACTGAACTAATGAGTGTGGTCCTGCCTGCTTATGATAGAAGCTTGGCTTGCCATCCTTCTAATCTTTTCTCCACCTTACAGAGTATTTCCTTATAAGTATTACTTGTGGTTTGTTGCTCTGTTAACCAGGCCCCCAAATATTTCGAGTGAACATTCATGATCTTCATTCCCATTGCTTTGTACAAAATTTTCTGAAGAACACTATGGGTATTTCAACTAAACATTATCCCAGATTTTGCATAATTTATCTTTTGCCCTGAAACCACCTCAAATTCTTTTAAGGCTGCTTTTAAAGCATCAAAGGAATTTGGTTCAGATTTACAAAACAATAGACAATCACCAGCATAAAGTAAATGTGTAAGAAGACTTGCCTCTCCTGCCAGTTTTAAACCTTGAAGCTGCTGGTTTGTCGCCTCCTTCTCCAGAATCAAGGTAAGAACTTGCATGGCAATGATGAAGAGATAAGGGGAGAGGGGATGTCCTTGTCTCGGTCCTCTTTTTACATTAAATTTTTCTCCTGTAAGGCTATTCAATTTTACTGAAAAGGAAACTGTTGAGATGCATTGATGAATGAGCTCACACCACTGTTTTGGAAAACCCATACACTCCATTGTTTTAACAATAAAATTTCAACCCATACGATCATATGCTTTTGCCATATCAATTTTTAAAGCTGCCCAGTTTTCTTTCCCTTTTTGATGTTTCATCTTTGGCTATGATAATGTTATTGTTATTTGCCTGCCCTATTGCTTGATTTTGTGATATTATCTTCTGTAGAGAGGTTTCAATCTATTTGCCATCACTTTTTCTATTATTTTGTATAGAACATTTGACAGACTGATAGGCCTGTATTGCTCTGCAATTTCAGCTCCAGCCATCTTGGGAATGAATGCGAGATTTGTATGATTTATTTCTTTTAGTAACCATTTACTTCTAAAATAATTCTGGACCACTAGAGTCACATCCTCTCCTATTATCTGCCAATATCTATGATAGAAAAAAGCTGTAGATCCATCTAGTTCCGGGGCCTTAAGTGTTTCATCTCAAACACCGCTTTTTCAATTTCCTCTTTCTAGGGTATTTCCATCAACCTTGTTTGATCATCTCAAACACCCCATCTTCTTCCTGACCACTTACCTTTTGGATCTGTTCTTTGAAGTTTGCTGCTATTTCTTCTCATCCCTGTACCCACGTTCCCCTTTTTTTTATCCCTTCTATATTATTCCATCTTCTTCTGTGTCTCACCTGTTGGTGAAAGAATTTGGTATTCTCGTCACCATCTTTCAACCAAAGTTCTCTTGATTTCATCCTCCATAGCTGTTCCTCATACTTTAGCCATTTTTTATATTGGTCTCTCAGACCTTGTTGCTTCTTCTTTGTCTCCTGAGAAATTGGCTTTCTTTGAATTTCTTTATTTCTCTCTCTCTCTATTTTCTTTAGCCTCTCTGAAATAACCCCAAATTCAGTTCTAGTCCACCCAACAAATTTTTTCTTTGTTTCCTTGAGTTTACAAACCACCTTATAGGCCTGTGATCCCCTACTATCCTTAGACCAGCTTTGGGAGATAATCGGTTTGAATCAGGTAGGCATGACATTGTAAGCACGTTAAATGAGCATTTAGAAATTTTTTTGACACCCGCCCCCTTAAAATACCCCCATCCTACCCTTGAAAAAGATTAATACCCACTTTTGACAATTGTCAAAATATTTATCAAGTATTCATTTAGCGTGCTTACATTATTGTACTTACTAGATCTGGTCTCAGAGATAAAATATTCACATTCTTTGTGTTCGGCCCACATAGGTAGAAAATGAAAAGATTTTTCCCCCCTCTAATGTTTGGGTTCGTATCTAGCAGTAGAGGGCAATGGTTCGAGTTTAATTGTGGAAAGGTCTTGAGTTGGGCCTCTGGAAAGAGCTCCAACCAAGTAATACTTGCATAAGCCCAGTCCAATCTTTCTCTAACTTCTCTCTGGCCTGATTGATTATTTGACCATGTAAAAAAAGTCCCTGGACACCCCAAGTCTATTAAGAAAAGCTGTTCATTACATTTTGAAGGTTTTGGGATATGTTTACTATTCTGTTTGCCCTCATAATCAAGGATATTTGTAATACCATTAAAATCTCAAATTATAATCCATGGGGTATTTTACTAAATATTGTTCTTGGGGCTACACCATCCCTTGGTTGGTATAGTCTTGGGTTGGTATAGCCCCAAGAACATGGATACCAAAAATAATTCATCGGTGCAAGGTGTCAACCGGCCGGTTGATAAGGTAACCTGACATGGGAGCGAAAAAAAAACATCGGTGACAAAAATTATTATCATTTCTTCGTGGATGCCACAACATTAATTTGGATGGTAACTCAAACCATAACATCAGAGACTAGATTTTGCAGTATTGATACAATCGTACAATGTGAGCTGCACTTCAGCCAGTAATTGAAATGAATGAACCAGCCTACTTAGCCCGAGAAACAGCTGAACTAGATAGAGGCAGAAGATTTTTAAACAGTTTGGCCTCTCTGCTGACTCAAATCCAGACCCAGACCCAGACCCAGCCCTTCAAGGTGGGACTTTGACCTCGTAACAGAATGCCATGGTCAACCTCATTTTGGAGTTCATAAACACTGGAAAACAAATACAAGTTGTAATGGTTGAAAATTTTAGCATACATAAGAGTGCATCAAAGATCGTGAATGTGTTAATTTTTGCTAAATTCATGTCGGAAGAGCACAATCACTTTATTTTCAAAGGATAATGCCTTCATTACGTTGCTAAATTTATACAAGTCACATATACGCTACACTATTCTAACATTCTTATCAAAGCTAATATGGGGGGGCTAGCAGGATGATAGTTTTTGACTTGGCCAGCCCTCCACTATCAATGCAAGGATGAAATGACCAAGCCAAACCGGGTAATCCCATTTGACTCACAAGGCCGGTGAGTTTCATTGGAAAGTTCCACACTCTCACATAGTAGTAACACCCCAAGGCCAGAATCATATTAACAACTTCAACCGTACAAGTAGGTTTTGTCGGTACAAGCATATCCAATAAAAAGAGCATAGCCTCACAACCAGTGCAAAAGCAGCTCTATAGCATCTTTCTTTCCATCAGCAGATGATAGGAATATGAAAATTAATATGCCTGAACTAAATGACCAGCCAACCTAAAATCCCTAGACAACAGAACCATTTTCCTGCTGGCTTTTGAGGAAGGACTTGCCGGATCTTATTCTTCTCTTTCTCAGCCTCTCAGCAATGGCGAATGCCAACTCTAGGGACTGTGAAGCATTGAGCCTGGGGTCACAATGTGTATGGTATCGGGAGCTCAAGTCATCAAAAGTCACTGTCCTTGATCCTCCAATGCATTCTGTGACGTTCTGACCAGTCATCTCCAAATGAACGCCTCCTGGGTGGCTCCCTTCTTGTTCATGAACATCAAAGAATGCCCTCAACTCCGACTAAGACATACAGAAACATCTTAGTTATTTGGATGTAGAAAATATAGGAAGGGCAAAACTTCATTGTAGTTTGGATATTTTACTTGGTTGAGCTCTTACCCTTATCGAATCAAATGAACGTGTCTTGAGGCCACATGGAGCCTTGATGGTATTCCCATGCATAGGATCACTCACCCATGTTACAATAAGCCCAGCCTGGCGCACCGCTCTTATCAGATGGGGAAGTTTCACCCGCATGTTTTCTGCCCCCATTCGGGTGATTATTGTCAGCCTCCCAGCCCTGTTGTGAGGGTTGAGAATCTCGCACAATTTTACAAGCTCCTTTGGATCCATCTTGTCACTCACCTGCATAATAATTAGCAATTTCCGTGTCAAAAATTGGAGAACTCAAGCTAAGTGACTCAAAAGAATGTGGAGACAGTTTAATCTGTCCATTGATGACACAATCCCCCACAACCATTATGATACTACCACTATTAACATTACCATCTCAGTAGATTATGTTGGATTAGGTCATCAACTCAACAACAACAGAACTGTGCCATGGCAAAGTAGGGAAGAATCTGGAAAACAGCACTCAAGCAAACTGATAGATCATTAGATGGTTTATGTCTAATAAGAATCACCGCCTACCTTTATACCTAGAGGGTTAGCTACACCCCTAAGGAATTCAACATGAGCTCCATCCAACTGCCGAGTTCTCTCACCCACCCAAAGCATGTGAGCAGAGCAATCATAGTATAGACCGGTTGTTGAATCCTCCCTTGTCAATGCTTGCTCATATGGCAGATGAAGGCATTCATGAGATGTCCAGAATTCAGTGGTGGTCATTATGAGATGATCTAGAGTAAGTCCAGCAGCAGCCATGAATCCAAGAGCTTCATCTACCCTCTGTGCAAGTTCCATGTACCTATTTGTCAACAAATAATGCTTATCACTAAGAATCACCAGAAAAGATCCATGATAACCATATTATATAAGCATAAAGAACTATATTAGAGCAGTGTAGTTAAGGTAGGCAGACGATGCCTAGGCATTTTGTCCCAACAAGGCAAATCAATGCATATACAACGAAAAAATGCAAAAATAAATACATATATTATATAAATAATATGCATAACCATATAAAAATACTATTTAATTACATGTTAATTATAAACTATTAAACCACAAATTAAATCACTAGGGGGGGGTGTTTTCCAATGTGAATTTCTTTTCTTGTTGTGAGTTCCAAAAAACAAATCAAAACCATCCAGTTTGAAAACAAATTAGTTCTTAAAACAAAAACACAGAAAGCATGTTCTTAAAACAAATTAGTTCTTATATGTGTTTTTTGTTTCCAAAACTGAAACCAAAAATGTGTTCTTGAATTTTTGGTTTAAAGAACATGTTTTCATCTGGCTTATTTAATACCACATTCCAATAAGTCAGGTAATATATCCTTGTTATGAAATTTGTCTTCATTTTAAAAAGCGTCATTTTGTTCATTTCAAAAACACAATTTTTTTTAAACAAAACCAACTTGTTTTTGCTTTTCAAAACACACAAATATATATATATATATATATATATATATATATATCAAGAATGATTTTTTCTGATGCAGCAATTTCGAAAAGAAACAAAAACAAAAACATTCATGTTGTAGAACACCCCCTAAATGAATAAAATGCAACTTAGATCTGATAAAATCTGATAAGGCTTTTGAATAACATCTCCGGTTCACAGGAAACACAGAGAGATTAAGAGCCCCGGTTTTCAGCTCTAAGGAACATTACCCAATAATAGTTCTGACTATCAAAGGTCTTGGGAGGGATAGACTGGATACAAGACCTAACCGCTGACATTTCTTGTACAAACCATATTCCCATGCTTTTATCCCAAGATTTTTCCATTTCACCAAGCACTAATTAATTATTTGCACCCTGCACCCACTAAGATGTCAATAATTTATATGACCCAACTGGTTGATGACAGTTTAATTGATATGGGCCAACCAGTACTTAACTGGTTGAGTACTGGACTAGACTAGATAAAATACAGAAAATCTTCTGGAGGTACCTGTCTCCTTGCTCACTGTGTTCTGTGAAATCAAGGTTCCACTGCGAGACTCTTTGCATAGCTGCATATCCACCAGTAGTAAATGCTCTGAGAAGATTCAATGTGCATCCAGACTGAGAATATGCTTTTATCAGCCTTTGGGGATCTGGTGCTCTGGATTTTTCATCGAAAGCATCACTATTGATATTGTCTCCCTGATAACTGGGGAGCTTAACCCCATCTTTGATCTCAAATGGTTCAGACCGAGGTTTTGCAAATTGGCCTGCCATCCGTCCCACCTGTTGCACAATCAAATATGATAAGCCTTCATCAGAAAGATCATTCAGTCATGTAGATCAAAATATATGTTGCACATATCTATGCAACAATTAATCCAGAAAAAAAAGGCACTGTTTAGCAATGCAGGTTATGGTTACCAACAGGTAAAGTACTAGCAGGTCCACGTCCATGCATACTCAGATCTTATAAAATGCATCAGTTAGAGGTCTTGATGAGTCAAGATCTAGCTATGACCAAAACCAGCCAAACAATCAGAGCAAGTATTTGGAAAATGGCAAAATCCTGTTGAAAAACACTAAAATCTGGACTTTGTCGATTGCAGAACTAGGAATAAAAAGAAAATAAGTGAATTTGCTTTGTTTCATCCTATAAATTCTAAGATTCGTTCAATTAACTGTTTATCAAGTATCCACCAACCAGGTTGGTGGCCTTAACTGATTCACAATGGGTCTTAATTCCATGTGCCCTAATACCAAATAGGACCCAATTATGATAAGCCCCAAAGCTTGTGGACTAAGATCATGCCAATAGAGGTCAGATATGTTGGATATCTGGGTAATTGGGTAATTATTACTACCCCTAAATGCAACTAGAACACAATAGATGCTGCAATTCCTTCTTTCTAGAAGGAAGAAGGATATAACAAGTTAACATGTTTCAGTGTCAAAAAGGAAGTTGTAACCATGCTTCATCCTATCAAATACATGTAAGCTAATCATAGATAATGGCCATTTATGATAAAACAATAGGGAATGGACATATTAATCCCTAGATGTTCATATTGTAGTCTGGTAGATTCCTCAAGGATCTTGATCATAATATTTAGAAAGCTTTCTTTTTTCTCTTGCTCGGCTTCTGTTTCATTCTTTCACCGTAGGTGATAGAAGTAATGTCTCTCAAACAGAAGGAATCAAACACTCCTTATGCAAACCTCATTCTTTTTTCTTGTTCTGAAAAGTCCAAAACAATGGAAATATACCAATGGTTTAGATCCCATAGCAAGAGAAATGTGGATGAATTCTTTAATTTCCAGTCGTCCTCACATTAAAAGTTAAAACATAATACCGATTCCTGATAACACTCAGCCATGTAGACAGGACGAGTGTGTTTGAAATTGTGCATCTTGGAACACTGATCAAAAAAAAAAAATTGTGCATCTTGGAACTTACCACACCCTTGGCGGTGTTCTGTATTGTAGTGGTGTGGTGTATTTCAAAATATTGTGATTTTAATCAATGGTATTTAGAGGCAAGTGAAATGTACTGAATCAATGGTATTTGACGGCAATAAAGTATACTGTGTTCTAAACATGAGAATGACTGCTTTCAAAAAGTCACGATATTTTGTGTTTCAGAAGCATGAATTTTTGGTTCCAGAATAGGCCATGCTCTAAAAGAATGCATATTCAGTGTGGCAAATACCATTGATGGAAATTAAAAAAAAAATCCTATAAAATTGATTTTTAAATCATAGGAAGCCAGAACTGAGAATAAAAATAATCTTGGAAAAGAATCTAGATGAACAAGGAGTCCTAGTTATCAGACGAGATTTCTCAGAGTGAGAGTCCCTAGTTTTTATCATTCATGGACTCAAAATTTAGAAAAAAGTTGACAATTTTTTTATTGTCTGAACTTAATAGCCTATTATATATGGATTATAAAAACCAGGAGTTCTCACCATGAGTTTATTCCCAACTGATAATCACTCTACTAATAGAGGAAAAGTGAGATACACAGCCTGGTATTTTGATGATATGAGCAAATAATACATCCCTTATCAGATGCAAGGTCCGGATCTGCCATTGCACCTCTCAACTTTTAAACTCCCCTTCCATCACAGGCTTCCGCAGGGAAAAATCTGAACAGATTTAGTCATTTTAGAAGCATCTTACTACACACCCACCACTCCCATTAAACCAGAAAGACAACTGAAATGCAAAAAACAACAAAGCAATAAATCCTAGACCTAAAGCTGACGGAAAACAACTTAAACATCGTTAAAAACAAGAAAGAAAGTAAGATATCAGGAGCTTTATATATTCTTTTCTCTGATCAATTATCAGTTTATCACGAGCAACTATACAGATGTAAAGGGAAAGAAAAATATCAATGTTAGCTAGAAAACTTGTAGTAAAGGGAAATTCAATCACCTACACTAGAATAAGAATGAAAAGAACGAAACAGAACAAAGTAAAGAAAAAACTTGAAAGCTCAAGTCTGAAAAACTAGCACGGGAATATTCACAAACAGAACATCAATTAACAAAGTCAAACCAAGAATTTATCAAAACCTAATCATAAATATAGGCAGACAAAACAACAAATTTAACATACTCAAACCAGAAATCCATCAACACCAAATAATTAAAATGCACACACACATAATTATCTGAGAAAGCGACATAAAAACCGAACCTTGATGATGGGCATCTGAGCACCAAAGGTGAGGACCACCCCCATCTGCAACAAAACCCTCAATGTATCTCTAATGTTATTGGCGCTGAATTCCTTGAAACTCTCGGCGCAATCTCCACCCTGAAGCAGAAAAGCCTTCCCAACGGCAGCATTTGCGAGTCGCTCCTCCAACTTCCTCGCTTCCCCGGCGAACACAAGTGGAGGGAAACTCTCAAGTTCCTCCAAAACCTTGTTAAGTTCTTCTTGGTTTGGGTAAACCGGAATTTGAAGAGCTTTCCTAGATTTCCAGCTATCAGGACTCCAATTCGACGACCCAACCTTAATTCCGACAACATCAGATGATGCGGGTTTCTTCGCAGGATCTGCCGCATGAACGGCGTAGACAACAGGGAAGTTGTGAGAGAGCTTTCTCGAGACGGGTTGCAGGGACGTCGTCGGGGTGGTCAAGCTAACTGCAACTGCTAGCGCCATTGTCGACCTAAATGGAGCTCGAAGACGGTGACAATTCTCCCTTTCTCACCTTGAAAGGGTTCCTCTCGTTATGGTTTTCAGAGAAAAATAAACGGTAATGACTGTAAAAAGTTCATAGGACGAGAGAGGGAAATCTATCTCGGATCTCTCATTCCCTGATTTCCTGGCCGACCTTTGAATCAGTTTTATAGACAGGAGGGGATATTCATCCACACAAATTTACATAAGTATCCATGAAAGATGAACAGGTTTTGAATCTGTATTCTTTGATAGACGCTTAGAATGGTCCATCACTTGTACACATGTTTCGGATTATATAAACCCGGTTGATTTATGCACCTGGGCAGTCTAATTCTGCAGGAAAGTTGACACTTGAAAGTACATCTATACACGTTGGGAATTGGGATCCTATCGGGTCGACCCGTTTAATTTCATGCCTCGTTCTTAGTTCTTAGTCACGTGGAAAGTGGAATAATATCCATACCCAACGTGACAACCTACCCAGGGGAACGAGAAACGATTGCTACTACCCAATGACAAGGGCCCACACCATAAATTTTCCTGTTTTCCATTATAAAATACCTAGGATCCACGACCATTCTACCTCTCACCACTGTGGGCCCTATGAAATTTTATGAATAGTGTAAACGTCATAAAAATTAGGATAAATTACAAATATCCCCGTACTATGGAAAGACCCCTTTATACTTTGTTTTGCACAAAGACCCCTTGTACTATTACCATGAGACAAATATTTCCTTTAACCGTTCAGTCAGATGATAGAATGCGCTAAATTATCAAAATACCCATTTAACTTTTTTTTATTTTCTTTATTTTCGCCCTTTTTCTCTTAAAACCTATTATATTCCTTTTTTCTCTTCTTTTCCTCTCCCTTACCGTCCTCTCTCATTCTTTCTCTCTTCCAACTCTCCGAAATGAAAGGATGGAGGAAACCCATTTAAATTCTTTGCCCGTCACCTATTAGACCTAGAAAGTCTCTTGTCAGACCCAGAAAGTCACCTGTTAGACCCAACTCTCATTCTTCTCTTCTTCTCTTTTGATTTTCTTGTTGTAAGAGATCTTATTTGGGTCCCAACTTTGAAACTATGTAGGTTTTAAATTCTCTGCCCTGCCACATAATTACCAAGCAAAAGAAAATGGAGGAAAAAGGAAAAGGTGGAGGAGAGTGGCGAGAGCATAAGAGTACATGACGAAGATGAAATTACTCATCCCTCTCAATATGGACGCTTTGCTTAGTGTGATTAAGCCTACGCTTGAACATTCCGGGGGGTCTTTGTAATTTACCCAAAAAAAGTAAAACCAAGCTAGGCATTATATAGACTTACAAACAAAAACTGATGATGCACAATCTGGCCAGTCTTAGCTGTAGATGGTCTTGCCTCTGAACTGAGTAACAGGGACCTGAAACGGAAGGAGAAGAGAAGCTCCGAGGAGAACCCGGCGTAAGGGCTCCGAAGCTCAAGTTAGAATCCTTCAAAGGCAAGATAAACCAGATAGCGCGAAAGTTAGCATACCTCGTTCCTGGGGGGTAGAAGCCTTTTATAACCACCTCGCGCACTCACTTCCAG